TACATTCAAGGTCCCTATATACAGGGTCTCTACATTCAAGGTCCCTATATACAGGGTCTCTACATTCAAGGTCCCTACATACAGGGTCTCTACATTCAAGGTCCCTATATACAGGGTCTCTACATTCAAGGTCCCTATATACAGGGTCTCTACATTCAAGGTCCCTACATACAGGGTCTCTACATTCAAGGTCCCTATATACAGGGTCTCTACATTCAAGGTTCCTACATTCAGGATCTCTACATTCAAGGTCCCTACATTCGGGATCTCTACATTCAAGGTCCCTACATTCGGGGTCTCTACATTCAAGTTCCCCACATTTGGGGTCCCTACATTCGGGGTCCCTACATTCGGGGTCTCTACATTCAAGTTCCCCACATTTGGGGTCCCTACATTTGGGGTCCCTACATTCGGGGTCTCTACATTCGGGGGCTCTACATTCAGGGTCTATACATTCATGGTCCCTAAATTCAGAGGCTCTGCATTCAGTGTCTTTACATTCAAGGTCCCTAAATTTAGNGGTCTGAGGGGGGACAGTCTCTGGGTCTGAGGGGGGACAGTCTCTGGGTCTGAGGGGGGACAGTCTCTGGGTCTGAGGGGGGACAGTCTCTGGGACTCGGGGGGTAACAGGACTTGTGTCCCTGCAGGGTGGAGGTCTGGCCTGAGGAGGGACAGTCTCTGGGACTCAGTATCGTTGGGGGACGACACATCATCAAGCGTCTGAAGAACGGAGAGGAACTGAAGGGGATCTTCATCAAACAGGTTCTGCCAAACAGTCCTGCTGCCAAGACCAGGTGCCTGAAGACCGGGGACAAGATCCTGGAGGTAGGACAGACGGGTCTGCTTTGGACAGAAACCTTTGATGTCTTCAGTCTGACTCAGTAAAACGTGCACGTGTCCGTGCGCTCTCAGGTGTCAGGTGTGGACCTGCGAGCTGCCAATCATGAGGAGGCGGTCAGTGCCATCAAGTCTGCTCCGAGTCCGGTGGTCTTTGTGGTCCAGAGTCTGTCTGCGACTCCACGGGTAAAACCCACAGACAGTCCCAGTCCTCAGTCAGGTCTGAGGTAGTCCCAGTCCTCAGTCAGGTCTGAGGTGGTCCCAGTCCTCAGTCAGGTCTGAGGTGGTCCCAATCCTCAGTCAGGTCTGAGGTGGTCCCAGTCCTCAGTCAGGTCTGAGGTGGTCCCAGTCCTCAGTCAGGTCTGAGGTGGTCCCAGTCCTCAGTCAGGTCTGAGGTGGTCCCAATCCTCAGTCAGGTCTGAGTGAGGTTGACAGAATCCTCAGTCAGGTCTTTACTGGACTAGAATCCTGACTTTAGGACCTTCAGGGGTCCTGCAGGTTCTGAAGTGGTTCTGACTCCTGGTCTTTGTGGTCTKTGTTGCAGCCGGTCTCTGTGACGGCGTCCAGCTACAGCAGACAGAAAACCAAGAGGACCGAGGCTCAGGTAAGAGACACACATGGACCCTGATCAGTCTGAGTCCAACAGGGTCCAGCAGGGTCCAGCAGGGTCCAGCAGGAACCAGTAAGGTCCAGCAGGAACCAGCAGGAGCCAGCAGGGTCCAGCAGGAACCAGCAGGGTCCAGCAGGGTCCAGCAGGAACCAGCAGGGTCCAGCAGGGTCCAGCAGGAACCAGCAGGGTCCAGCAGGAACCAGCAGGAACCAGCAGGGTCCAGCAGGAACCAGCAGGGTCCAGCAGGAACCAGCAGGAACCAGCAGGGGGCAGCACAGACTTATTTAACTGAACAGGAGTTCTGAGCTGCAGACAGATGGACTCAGATGATTCTGGTGCTGGTTTGCAGACCCAGGACCAGTTTTAAGTGTCAGTCCATGTTCTGAACATGTGAGTCTACTTGAACTTGAGCTGAGATCCATTTGAACCGGTCCAGTTCAGTCCAAACCCAAACATCCTCCTGACCCGGCTCAGAACTCATGTCTGCAGCAGACCGGGACCTGAAACAGGTCCGTTTATGTTTCTGTTTTTTGTCTTTACCCCCCAGAGATCAGAAGCAGCCCTGCCCCCCCTCAGACAGCCCCCTCCCTACACGCCCCCCAGCCAATCAGAGGCAGCGCTGACTCCAGACCTGGACCGGGTCAAAGGTGAGGCTGATGGTGGACTGAGGTTCTGTAACAACAGGAACACAGAACCAGGTCTGACTCAGAGTTCTGGTTCTGATGGGTCTGATGGACCGGGTCATGGTGTGTTGTTGACCTGAGTGACGGCTCGGTTCTGTTCTGGTTCAGATTATTCATCTTTATCTTTTATCTTCTCTGTAATCTGAGCTTTCAGAAGGAAAACTTTCAGTTTTTAAATGAAAATAAGTTTACGTTTATATTTATTTCAGTGGATTACATTTCTGTTTTTACACTTTTTACACATTTTTAAGTTTTTTACTTTTATTACATGTGTTGCATTTATTACATTTTTATATTAATTACATAGAATATATT